CGGAGTGGCAGGGCCCAGGACAGGCACAAGCGGGGAGGGCGGCCCGCCCGACTGTCTCTTCTGAGGCTGCCAGCCCGGGGTCCAAATGGCAAAGACGGTTTGGTATCCTCCACCGATTGGACGGGGACCCACCAAATCCAGTCCCCACAGCCTGCCAGACTGGTGTAAATTGGAGTGACGGGCTACAGAGCGAAGAGCTGGTCAAAAAACACGAGGTTCCCCCCCCCCCACCCTCCCAATTTTTTTTTTACTTTTGAGCAGAAATTTGACCACCGAAAGGTTTCTATTCGGAAATGCCGCTGTGGTCATAGAAGCTGTAGTTGGGGGAGGAGGAAGGGGTTGTCATTCTCGATAGGCCAGGCTGCCTGGCTGGACTACATGTCCCATGATGCATCACAGCCTCCCCCACCCAGCTTGGAAAGGGGAGGCAGTGCATCCTCAGAAGCCCCAGCCCTGGTGCATCATGGGAGATGGAGTCCAGCCAGGGAGCCCAAACCACAGAAGAAAATGGCAGACAGGAGACCCCCCCCCCAACTTAAACTCCCATGCAACAGTTGCATTTGCAAATCAAAATAGTTCAGCTTGGAGGTGCTACGGGATTTTCGGAGGGAAGCAGACTTGTTTGCATCATAATAACAAGAACAATAACAATTAATTATTATTTAAAAAAAAGTTTGGATGGAAATTTTCCACCATCCCATGTCACAGCCCCTCCCCTCCCCCCACCACCCGTTCTTTGACACGGTTTTCCCAGAGCAAGCAGGGAGAGATCCCGGGGGAGAGGAACAGGAGCCCCAGCGGGCTGCCTTTTCTCTTACCGTAGTGAGGGATGATGGCCCAGGCCATGGCGGACGCGTAAATGCCCCCGATCATCCAGAACATGCAGAGCCAGCTGAGGTGCTCACCGCGCTTCTCCTGGGCGAGGAACTCCGAGAAGTAGGAAAAGACAATGGGGATCGAGCCCCCGATGCTGGGAAAGGGAGGAAGAAACCATAGATCAGAACAGTAGGCGAAAGCCTGCAAAGGCAGGTGATCCTCACGCTTCAGGACGTGAGCTCCTGGCCAGCTGCGGGTTAGGGGGTCAGGAAGGCCGTCTCCCCACCCCGCCCCATGATGCTGAGGTTTTACACCTTCCTCGGAAGCCAGGAAGGCAGACCTGAAACACACACACACCCCCGAGCCAATGCAGCAGCAGGTGGCGGTGGAGACCAAGAGAAATGAACGGCAGGTGGAGCGGGTCAGATACCTGGGCTAGATGAATCGGGTGTTTGCTGGGGAAGAGGGACGGGGGAAGAGATCCCAGGCGCTTCCATTGCACAGACACCAGCTTTTCCTGGGGGCTCCCCCCGGCCTGATGCCGGCGTTGGGTCGGCACTGTTCCTTCCCACCAGCGCTCGTTTTCTCAGCCACAGTGAAGCCTGCTCCGAAGCACCAGCAGGTTTCCGCGGGCAGCTGCCGGGCAGGGCTCCCAGAGAAGGGGAAGTCAGAGGTGCATGTTGCCTGCACATCCCAGTTCATTACGGCACCTGCTTTCCTGCCCAGATGTGGGAGCCAGTTTGACCAGGCAAAGCGGCAACTTAGCTAATAAACCCACTGGGAGAACCCACGAGGGGCTAGAGGAGGGAGACAAACGTCCTGTTTCTGGATCTGCGTCTGCTTTGCTGGGTGACCTCAGCCCAGGCACAGCTTCCATATTCGCAGCCGCGTTTCATCTCCAGCAGCATGAGCAGTGGGGATGTAGCGGGATCCGAACTGGGGATGGAGTCCCCAGTTGAGCTGTACCAAGTTTGTCAGGCAAAGAGAAGGGGGTGGGAATCTGGCCAGGGTGTCCAAGGCAGAAGGGGGCAGATGGAGACGTGGTACAGGATTTCCCAGGACATTTCCATTCCAAATCAAACCACTGGTCCATCTAAGCAGGTATCTCCACCTCCCACCATCCTGGATCCGACTGTTATTCCATCTAAGCTGGTATCTCCACCTCCCAACATCCTGGATCTGACTGTTACTCCATCTAAGCTGGTATCTCCACCTCCCACCATCCTGGATCCGACTGTTATTCCATCTAAGTTGGTATCTCCACCTCCTGCCATGCTATATCCGACTGTTATTCCATCTAATCTGGTATCTCCACCTCCCACCATCCTGGATCCGACTGTTATTCCATCTAAGCTGGTATCTCCACCTCCTGCCATGCTGGATCTGACTGTTATTCCATCTAAGCTGGTATCTCCACCTCCTGCCATGCTGGATCTGACTGTTATTCCATCTAAGCTGGTATCTCCACCTCCTGCCATGCTGGATCTGACTGTTATTCCATCTAAGCTGGTATCTCCACCTCCTGCCATGCTGGATCTGACTGTTATTCCATCTAAGCTGGTATCTCCACCTCCTGCCATGCTGGATCTGACTGTTATTCCATCTAAGCTGGTATCTCCACCTCCTGCCATGCTGGATCTGACTGTTATTCCATCTAAGCTGGTATCTCCACCTCCTGCCATGCTGGATCTGACTGTTATTCCATCTAAGCTGGTATCTCCACCTCCTGCCATGCTGGATCTGACTGTTATTCCATCTAAGCTGGTATCTCCACCTCCTGCCATGCTGGATCTGACTGTTATTCCATCTAAGCTGGTATCCACACCTTCCTGCCATTCCTGATCAACCTCACTGGCATCCTGCCAGCTGCCATCTTTGCCAGTTTCCCACCCCCTGCCATAATGTATGCAGCCGCTGGCCCGTCTGCTATGGCCTCCCGACCTCCTCTAGTGCAACAGCTCTGGCCACCGGTCTCCCTAGCTCCATCTCTTTGGACACCCACTCACCCAGCACCCCATCGCCGGTCCAACCTGACCAGCTGAGTTCCGGCCTGGCCCAGATGAGACCTCAGTGGTTCTAATAGCTCCAGGTAACATCCCACCTCTAAATATGGTGCACGGAGCCCGGAAAAGGCTGAGGGTCAGTCTCAGTCCCCCAGCCATGGGGCGGCCACAGATGGATCTTCCCATGGGGCCCCTTGCCCCTGGGGAACTGGGACCCCTGCAAGGGGACGAACGCGCCACCCTGCTGGCAGAGCGTTGGAGAGGAGCGGGCTGGCTCCCGGGGGGCTTCTCTTACCACCTCTAAATATGGTGCACGGAGCCCGGAAAAGGCTGAGGGTCAGTCTCAGTCCCCCAGCCATGGGGCGGCCACAGATGGATCTTCCCATGGGGCCCCTTGCCCCTGGGGAACTGGGACCCCTGCAAGGGGACGAACGCGCCACCCTGCTGGCAGAGCGTTGGAGAGGAGCGGGCTGGCTCCCGGGGGGCTTCTCTTACCCCACGCCGGAGAGCAGCCTGCAAAAGAGGAAGGTGCCGTAGCCTTGCACGAAGGAGGAGAAGAAGGCGAAGACGCTGTTGACCGAGAGGGAGATGAGGAGGCACTGTCTCCGGCCGATCCGATCCGCCAGGCCGCCCCACAGGAACGCTCCCACCATCATGCCCAGGTAGACGATGAGGCCTGGAAGGACACAGGAAACAGAGCTGCACCCCTCAGCAGTAGCGCCCGGCCCTGGAGTACATCACTCCCCATGGCTGCAGCAGTCCCTCGGGGCTTGGCAGAGCACATCTGGGCGGGGACCATGAGGATGCCAAAGCCAGGCAGCTGGTGCTGGGGTGGAGCATGGCAGACAGACAGCACAAGTGTCTAGAAGGCAGGAAGTTAGACCAAGGGGAAGAAAAGCCACGGCTCCTGGCTTCCACACGCTGCCCCGTGCTCTAAGCACTAGGCCACACACTCCTCCCACTAGAGACTGCTCCCAGCCCTGAGGTAGGGTGGGAACCCAGCAGTCCTGACACCTAGCGTCTCCCCGCTGCTCTAACCACTAGACCCTACGCACCTCTCAGAGCTGGGGCTAGAACCCAACAGTCGCGCTGCGTCTCTGAACCCCAAATTAGGCGCTCGCAGGAGATGAAAATCCCTCCCTCCTATAACAGCCCAGCCCTCTGCCAGCTGGTGGCTCTGGGCAGCTTGCCCCAGCCCTAGCCTGCTCTGCCAGCAGGGACAGTGTCACCCTGCAGGGCTGAGTTGGGGGGCAGGGCATGGAGGAGGCAGAGGTGTGAGGAGTGTCTCTGTGATATGGCAGGGGGAGGGGTGTGAGCAGAGGAAATGGAGCTACAGGGGGTGTCCCAGTGATGCTGCAGGAGTGGGGTGAGTGGGAGAGATGGGG